GGCTCAGACACATCGAAATTGAGTTCCCTGGAAGGCAACCGACAGAAATTAAAAGACCAAACAAATAAGGTGAACAACATCATTACTCCGACAATCTCCCAAGTGAAAGCAAGATTAATTTGTAGAAGCCACGAGGGAGCAGAAGGCACCCAGGAAACGCAGTCAGGAGAGAGCAGGGATGGAGGCAGCCAGCGGGGGTGCGAGCGTGCCCTCACACCTCCCTGCAGTGGTTCCTGTGGGTTGGCATCGCCGCTCCCTCAGTTCTGACTGAGGACCCCCAGATGGACTCTATGATCCAGGATGAGACTGCATTCCTGGTTTGTTCCCAGTGGCGTCGGGACCACCACCTACACCCCTAAAGATCTTGGGGTTTGAGGTTATGGCACAAACTACTGTTTGCCGGCCAGAGCCCATTCTCTCCTTCCAATGTTATCGGGGTGCAGTGACATGTGGCCATGTGATCACCTGTTGGCCAATGAGACATGAGCTGATGTGAGGCTTCCTTAAAGAGAAATGGCTGGCCCAGAAAGAGCTCATCGGCCTCCCTCACTCTCCCCTGGGCCTGTAGCTGAAACAGAACCCACCAGCCTCCCAGCCTCCCAGCCCCACGAGGCGCATTTGGCCAATGGCCTTTCTGGTTGCAGGGCCACCAGCTAACTCCCCATTGTCGCGCCATCTTCAGTGGCCCACCCATCCCCGGAGGGCCTGGCACTGCCCTTGCCCGGCCTGCAGCGGACATTCATTATTCAGGGCTTTGTAAGACAATCGCCAAGTCTGAGCCACCAGGAAAAATGAGAAGACATTTATTGAGTCATCTACAGCAGTTTGACATCCTCAACATCCCGGACGAGGTGTGAGCACAGCATTAATGGTGGCAGCGGGAGCGGGGTCTGTGTGGCTGGTCTTTACCGAGCGCGATGGAGCCCAGGCTGACCCGGCTCCCACAAGGGGTCCTGGAGCCGCGTCTGGGATGCCAGGGTGGTTCCACGCTGGTCCTCACAGGGGCAAAGCGACGGAAGACGGACACAGCACAAGACACACGTGGCCAAGCACACACACCCCAGGACTGGAGTTCAGGGAAGGAGAGGGCAGGGGCACACGGCCCACTCGAGGGACGTCCCAGATCTCTGGAGGATTCCCGTGGGTGGCAGGGGACGCTGACAGCACCCACATCCTAACCCAAGAACAACCCGACTCACGGTGGAGATACCCCTGGCAGGGTGTCCATCGGGGCCTGGCCTCGCCTCTCCCTGGTGCTCATAGGTTTCTACAGGTGGGACAAAGGTTACCCCAGGAGGGCTCGGGGCAGTTGACAAAGAGCACAGGGAGCCTTTCGGGGATCTTCCCCCGATAACCATTCCCACCTCGTGTGTTCACCAAAGCCCTTTCTCACAGGGGTCTCACTGCCGCCCCATCCCTGGCCCGTGGACAGACGCACAGCGTGTCCTCCTGCTTCCCAAGTCGGGAAGCAGCGACCCAGAGAGGTTCAGCCAGGAGGGACAGCCCAGGGTGGCACACAGGTCCCCCACATCACGGTGACCCCGCCACCCCTCCTGCACTCTGGAGTCCTAACAACTTCTGTGGCCAGAGCCCTGCCCTGCGCCAGGCAGAACATGTTCTGAACAGATGCTTCCCTGAGGGTCTCATGGGGGGCCCCCCGTGCAGGACCCTGTCCTCACGCATATTTGCACGGGATCCCAGCGGGTGCAGGGCAGGCTAGGCACACCTGCATTTTGTCATCAGCCCAAGGGGGAGGTTGGACCTCCCTGCTCTAGTACTTTGTGAGTCACCCTGAGGATGCACAGAGGAGTCAGGGCCACACAGCAGGCCGGCGGCAAAGCTGGGAGAAACCCAGGTCCCTGTGCCCTGGTCACGAGGCTCAGGTAGGAATCTATGGTGACAAAGCACTCACTGCTTTCACTTTGGAGTGGCCTTGAGGGGGTCAAGGGGACTCACAGAATGACAGGAAGCCTCTCCCAGCTTTCCTTCCGGAGGGACAGGGTCAGGAGGAGGTGAGAGCACCCTGGGTGGGGGGTGGCCTGGAATGTCAGGCCTCGGGGGAGCTCCAGCTCCTGGCCCTACCCCCTCCCCCAGAGTAGCCAGTTCAGGGAGGGGAGGGGACTGAGAAGGACAAGCCCCTGGGTGGGTCTGAGAGCTGCCCACTAGACAGAGGATGTGGCCTGGCCTCAGGCATAGGGACAGTCACAAAGCTCTCAGTCCTGGGGGCCACCAGAGCCTCTGAACCCCCAAATCTCACACTCTGACCCCTCACAGGCTCCCTGCCTGAGTCCCGCTGCCCCACGGCTGGGCCTTTCCAACACTGCCTCATCCCCAGGAGGACTCAGCCTCCCCTGGTGGCTCTGTCCTGCAGGTTGCATGGAGCAAGAATCGCCCCCTTCCTGGCGATGACCTTGTAGAAACACGGAGTCGGGAACTCGGCTCCTCCCCCTCCTCACTCAATGCAGCTTCTTATCCTTCCCCCACCAGGCAGACACTGAGATCCTTGCCAGGGCCCATTCCCAGCAGATGACTGGTGTTTAGACGGAGAATCCAGAGGTGCATCGGACGGGACAAACCATCTAGTCTTACTGTCCATGTTACAGATTTGAAAACAAAGGACCAGAGGGCGAGGCTTTCCCGGGCCTCATGCTCTCGTCCCCCATGCCTGTGACCCTGAAGGCCAGCTGCCCGGCCTCCTGGAACATCCCAAATGCAGCCGGGACCTCGGCCGACACGACAGGCAATCGTTGGTTCAGAGAGAAAAACAAAGTGACAAACCAGCGGGAACCTGGGGCCCAGGAGGACCCAGGCCCAGGGCTCAGGCGGCAGCACGGGGAATTCGGGGCTGGTTTTGTTTTTGCTGATCTGTGGTCTCCATAGAAAGTCACAGCCTCTCTCTCACAGTGAAGCAGGCCTACTGATGGGGCAGGGTAAGGAACAAGGGCCATGCTTGGGGGACACCTCCCCCCCACCCCCACGAACTGGAGGTGACCACTGTCTCGGCCAAGGTCAGGGCTGGGTCTGCACACCATGCCCAAGGCACTGGTCCAGTCGTCCCTGGCCCGACCCTTCCCTCCAGCCCACCAGCTTCCACTGTGGCGTCCACGTGGAAGAGGCGGCTGTTCCATTCCTCAGAATAAGCAGCACCGCCCACACACCTACTCAAACGTACACACCCAGACCTCAGGTGACGCCCTTTACCCGCTTTCCACCTGGACTGGAGGATTACGGAAGCACAGAGCCTGGAGACGCATTAGTCCCCTCATCTCCCAAATGGGGAAACTGAGGCCCAGACAGGGAGCACTCTGTCCACAGGCCCAGTGGTCTGAGCCTGGCGGCAGGCCCCGTCTCTGAATCCCAGCCTGTGGCCCCTTCCAAGCCACGCAGGCCCCTCGGAGTGCAAGGTGGCCCATGGACACCCCTTTGGGTAACACACTTGTCTCGCAGAGCAGGGGCGGGGGGGTCTCGAGGTCAGAGGCCAGACGGAAGGACCGCGGCACAGCCCACGGCCAGCCCGCGTCACCAATGTGCCCAGGAAGTGGAAGCAGCTCCTCGCCCTCTGATTTTGCCAAAGACCCAGGACCTCCTGTTCTCCAACCCACACAGCTCAGCCTTACCCGGTCACTCCGACGGCCTCTCCAGTAACGAGCAGCTCACAAGCCAGGCCCCTTCCTCCTTCTCAAACCAGACAAAGCCACCCTCACCGTCCACCCAAGCTCCGCCAGCATCCCAGGCACGACCGTGAAGCCAGTCCACAGACACTCAGCCGGGACATCAGAGCTGACACAGCACGCCGCCAGGCCCACAGGCGGGTGTCCCCACACTCAGGCATGCATGGCGCTCCAACGCTGTCCTCCACCCCACCCCACCCCAAACCTGGGTCTGGCCCCTTTCCTCCTCACACTGGGGGGGCCAGGGCTGGGCTGGGGTACCCAACTCCTTCCATCTGCAGCTTCTCCTAAGAGACATGGGGGGTGTGGCTTCCCCTTCAGCATCGAGGACACTCCAGCATCCTTCCTATGACTCAAGGGCAAGAGCACATGGGGGTCTTTGCCCCGGTCTCAGAGAGACTTCCCAACTGTGGCTGGGGCTCCTCGGGGTGGCGAGGGGCAAAGGGGTGAGAAGGGGGGGGCGTTCCTGGGCCTTGAATCGGGCCCACAGAGGGCTAAGGTGCTTCATCCTAGTCATGGCTTTGACTGAGGGGAAGGGAGCTGGGGAGGACTTGAGGGTTCTATGTGGCTGGGCT